AGTTCCACTGCTGCACTCATGATCCAAGTTGCTCCTCAGACTTGAAGCACATGTATTACAGCAGATGTGGGGTGCCCACTGTTTGTCTTGATCACCTAGTTTACAACCGAAATAAAGCTGATATGCCTTTGTTATTAGTGGAGTAATAGACCGTCTCTGAGACGCAAAAGTCACATCACCACACACGTAACAAAACTGATCTGGATTGTTTGCACACTTTCGAGACATCTTGCATGAACGCTGTCAGCCAACTGAGGAAAAAATGGCTAATATAAAACAATATAATGTACACGTATGTATAACGTAACACAATCATGCCGATTACATCATCTTTCCTTGCCGAATATAAAAATGTAGCACGTGCATTCTTGTGAATTACAGTATATTAACACTGTCACAGCAGGAACACATATAATTACCGTATCTCTAAAACTTGAACTAATATTGAAAAAATAAGTTTCATTCCGGTTGTAGCACATTAAAAATAGTAATAATAAATGGCTGTTGATCAGTGTTATTATCATTATAATAATAATTGTTATTATTTAAGTACATATCTTCATCGCCAAGGTCAAATCAACGCAGAACCAAAATTCATCGTAATGTTTATCGAGTCAGTTCACTCTATATCCAGCCATAAAACTAATCTCGCCCCAAGTACCTAATCAGTATTTCAAGTTCCCCTAAGTTCGTATCTTCTAACCGTGATGCAGTTTAACGACCGCTAATGTCCCCGCCGAAGGTATTGTAATTAGCCCCCAAGATAATTGCTAATAGTTTATGGTGGGGAGGCGAGATGCGTTGGGACACACTGAACTGCTGAAGGGCTCTCAAGACGCTGAGCAAGGCCCCGCACTGGGAAGTGACGCGGGCAGGCAGATTACCTTCCTCGACTAGCTCCCCCTCTCCTTATAGTTTCATTTCCGCCCCGAGAACGATGACAGAGGTCCTTAATGAGCCGAGCAGGATATGCATACTACATCTATCAGGAACGTGGGCATTATACGTTATGTTCATAACACTGCAGCATTAGATCAGATGTATAAAACGCCTTGTTGGTGTTCTTTTAATAACTGGAACCGTGATTAGATTCCACTGGATTTGACTGGATTTGCTCACTTCTTACTCTGTCTCTTACAGTTTGGTTTGTCATTTCTGCTGTTTCCAATAATCTTTGTGTTTTCACCGTATCTTATAGTACAGGGTGTTTCAGTTTATTGTTGCATAACTTTAAGATTCGATAGAACTTTTAAAATTAATGCATAAAGTCTATATAAACATGGGTCGAAAAATGCGTGGCTTCCGAAATACAGGGTGTTTAAATTTACTTTCTAAAATAGTTTTTTTTAAATATTTCGAACAATATTTGATGTATAACAGTGAAAATTGGTATACAAGGGTTTTTTGGTACGACAAAACGAACCATGGGCATAGTTTTACTGTAGCCGCTAGAGGGCGCTCTCTACTGTACCTGTAGTGTATTAAAATGAACGAAAATTTTTTCTTAGTGCAATTTTTTGCTTTTGAATAAAAAAACTGATTCTTCGCACTTTTCAACATAAAAAAGCTCTCTTGTGAATTTTCGTTATAGTTAGCAGTTTTTGAGATATTTCGATTTTTAAGGTTCGATGCATTTTTAATTATTTATGATAAAATAACGTTAAAAAGTCAGTATCTCGATAATTTTTAGAAGTAGGCTGTGCCTGCAAATATTTTTGAAATTGAAAGCAGAATAAGGTTAAACGTCAATTAGTTGACAGTTAGTTTTGTTGTCTGTTGAAACCTGAAATGTTTTTTTGCAATTGTGAATGCACGATATTTAGTTTCTTTTACCTGTTTTTATTTTGTAAGTTTTGTAAAAATGCCATTTTTATTCTCCGATCAAGAGTTAGCGGATATTCATTTTGTGTATGGCTTTGTAAATAGAAACGCAGCAGAACCAGCCAGAGAATACGCACGAAGATTTCCAAACAGACGACATCCAGCTCGCTCAGTATTTGTAAGAGTGCATCGCCAAATGATTGAAAATGGTTTTGGAAATCTCCAGAGGGATCAAAACATAAATGTTCGTCAGCGCAGAATTACCCGTAGGATTCTGCGTGAGTTTGATAGAGATCCGACCACAAGTGTTAAGAGAGTTTCTGGTGCCTTGGGAATTTCAGCAAGCCATGTTCACCGTGTTCTTAGAAATGACCATAGACGTCCTTACCATTTGCAACCTGTGCAAGGACTACAGCCAGGGGACGGAGAACGAAGAATCCCATTTTGTCAGTAACGTCTTAAGTAACGTTTTATGGACCGATGAGTCATGCTTCACTAGACGTGGAGTGGTAAATTTTCATAATCAACATATTTGGTCGTATGAAAGTGTTCAGCATGAATTTAGTGTGAACGTGTGGATTGGTATCTACCGTAATCGACTATTTGAACCCTACCTTTTGCCTGCAAGGTTAAATGCTGCGAGCTTCTTGGAATTTTTAAAGGCTGAACATGCAAATATGTGGGATGATGTTATGTTAGATTTAAGAAGATTGGCCTGGTTCCAGCTTGATGGTTGTCCAGCTCATTATTCGAGAATAGTTAGAAACTGGCTGGACGAAAATTATCCAGAAAGATGGATCGGCCGTGGAGGACCAGTCGCCTGACCTAAATCCATTAGATTTCTTTGTGTGGGGATTTCTAAAAGAAAAAGTGTACCAGACTCCCGTAACCACAAGAAATATGCTTATAGAAAGAATCAGGAATGCATGTGATGAAATAAGGCCTTATTTGAATCGTTCGATCATTCGTAGATGTGAATTGTGTATTGAACAATTGGGTTTACATTTCGAGCAAGTACTTTAGGTTTTGTATGTTTGTCCTAACTATCCAATAGCATTTTAGTTGTAAATAATTAATTTAATTTGTTAAAAATAATATTGGAAACTTAAACAAATTAATATTCTGTGTTTTTGTGTTTATTTGGAGTTAGGAATTATTTGTGTTTAAAAACACAATCTAATCGATCATCTTAATTACTTGCCCAAATCGAAAATGATAAAAAAAATATTATTTTCCCATAAATAATTAAAATTGCATCGAACCCTAAAAATCGAAATATCTCAAAAACGGCGAACTATAACGAAAACTCACAAGAGAGCTTTTTTATGTTGAAAAGTGCGAGGAATCAGTTTTTTATTCAAAAAACAAAAAATTGTACTAAGACAAAATTTTCTGTCATTTTAATACACTACAGGTACAGTAGAGAGCGCCCTCTAGCGGCTACAGTAAAACTATGCCCATGGTTCATTTTGTCGTACCAAAAAACCCTTGTATACCAATTTTCACTGTTATACATCAAATATTGTTCGAAATATTTAAAAAAAAACTATTTTAGAAAGTAAATTTAAGCACCCTGTATTTCGGAAGCCACGCATTATTCGACCCATGTTTATATAGACTTTATGCACTAATTTCAAAAGTTGCATCGAATCTTAAAGTTATGCAACAATAAATTGAAACACCCTGTATATACATATGTACACGAAGTACAATATCTTTAATGCAGCCAAACCTTTAATAAGTTTAGAGTTTCTAACAATAAAACCTAGAAGAGCTCTATTAGCATCATTGACAATTTGAGAAATGTGATAGTCAAAACTCATCCACTCTCAAATGTCACACGCAAGTCACAAACTGTTTCATGCTACGATAATACCAAGGTTATCAGGATAAATAAGTGTTACTTGCGACAAAACATTATCACTTTGCATAGTCAGATGCAGTTTATTCAACAAACACCAATTTTCCAAATTTGATAACTGACACTACTCACAATCAGTAATGGTGTACAATTCTAAGTCATCGGTAAATGTCAATATTTCACAATCGATATGGGTACTTACATTATTAATAAAAAGCAAAAGAAGCAATGGCCTCGAATTTGAACCCTGTGGTACTCCCCACGATGCTGAAAAACGGAGAGACGTGAAACCGTTTTGGGAGTTAAATAGATGACGATGCTGTAAATAAGATTCTAATAAGGATATTGTGTTATTAGTGAAACCAAGTAAATCTAATTTGGAGAGAAATATGCAATGATCCACTTTGTCAAATGCCTTTGAAAAATATGTGTAAACTACATATACAGGGTGGCCCATCCATGCGTGGACGGAATATTACTCATAAACAAATACATTTTGGGAAAATCCATTCATGGCATGTTATACATGACATTTGATGGCACATTTCTAAAATATTGGGAATTATTTAGGGCACCCCTCAACCCCTCAATCCGCCATTTTGAAATTTAGAGTGCTGAATTTTGTATCAAAAAGCTCACCTCAGCTTTTATCTTATTTGTTAATTTGTCGAATTTTCATTCTTGCTCATACAGGGCGAATTGTACTTTTTCTCAAAAATTTCAAAAGGATCACCCTGTATGTTTGTGCAAGTTTGGATTCAATTTTTTAAAAGCTTTTTTTGGTATAAGGTTTGATTAAGACAAAATCACTAGATTTTGAGTTATTAAGCTTTTAATAGAACAACACACCAAAATTAAAGAAAAAAATCACATCATCCATGGAAACAAAAGACAAACAGTGGACTAGTTCCATATTGCCACTAAGAGTACAGATTTGACGTAAAAACTAATAACAATCAGAACAGTATAAATAAGCTTCAAGCAACGACGATGAAAAGACCTAGACCTTTCTATTTACACTAAAACGCGTTGAAAGGATAAATATTAGGGAATTGCAATGTTGCCAGTTACTAGCTGATAGAATTCCTAACCTGGTAGTAAACAAACCTCAAACAAATATTTCATCGTGTAAACCAGCTATTTGGACTCATGAAAATAATAAAATTGTTAACATTCTTGAAAATCTGCATAAGCAATAGTGAAAAGTAGAAAAGTGAACTATTTTCGTATTGAATTTACCGTTAGCGAATTGGAAAGAGATTTCCTTCAGTCACAGAGCTTCAGTCGACATTGGCAACGTCGCATTTTTCTTATGAATGGACATTTTACGATAGTATAAAGTGCAATAAAGTGCGTATTTTATGCTTGAGTTGTGGATTTTCACAAATCATTATTTTTGTGCTATTTGCCATAAGTTTGTTAGTGATATTGAACTGTTACCTGTTGAACAATGGTGCGATCGTGTTATGTGTGCAAGATAAACAGCAGTAATCCAGAATCGGCCAATTTATCATTCCATCGGTAAGTAAGGTTATGTTTTCATATCATAGGCGTGGCAATACAAATTTTACTGAAAAAATTATCATAAAACAGTCTTTTACCATCATTTTAGTAACTTTTTGTAGCTTCCTGACGAGTTTATATGAATATATATCCATCACTAGCAGTATGATACAATTTAAAGATGTTCTGGGTGTAGTTCATCAAGTACAAAAATATCCACATACACAATCTTCATGCAACTTAAGTAAACGTGATTTTGCCATGATTTGATTATATTTTTGTGCTAACTAGTTTATAATCATTAGACAGATCATTGGTGTAAGACATGTGTTTACAATTTTAGACTCCCATCTGACCCAGCAAAGCGCATTTTATGGATTTCACTGCTTGGCATTGACTGGGAGAAAACGTTGCCGAAAGTGGCACTGATATGCAGCAAACATTTTCATGATAGGGACTTTGAATATGATTCTGCTGGAAGAAGGCTTTTGAAGGATGGTGCTGAACCAGTAGATGTTCGCTCCATACATGATGAGCAGGAGTATGCAAGGTAAATATGTTTGTTACTTTTTTGAGTTTTTTTGACATGCTATTAATATCATACAGATACATTTGCCCTATATATTCATATTGATTAATATTTACTCAGCATTTCTATTATTTAAAGTTTGAAGAATTAAAAATGTGTCAAGATTATACTTGTACTTTACTCTAGACTCTAGCCCTGTAAATATTTACTTTGTTATTGTATCCATAAGTATCTTAAACAAACATTATTATTCCAGCTCTGATTCAACAGTGACACTTACTCCATCAAAGGAATCAAGCTCAGAAGCCCATAGCAGTCAAGGGAGCCCTGTCAGAAAGCGGTGAGTAGAGTTCTATACGGACTTGAACTATTCTCATATAATAAGCTTATACTACATATTATTATCAAAATAAACAGATTGGCACAGTAAAATAAGTCAGTGCCTGTGTGCTTCAAGTGTGCTTTAATAAATGCAATTCATACATTCAAGTACATTACCAAACAATTATTGTCAAAACTTATCTAAATAGTATCATGTATATGTCAAAGGATTTTGGTTGTTTACATGTGTTATGTCCAGTATTTTATGTATACCTTTTATTTTAGATTGAGAATGGAAGAGTTAGCTATACCAGGGCCTTCCCATGTGGTGTGAGTATTCTCTTAATCTAAACCATTTCATTTACTCATGTAGAAAATATTTTAGCTCAAGTCATATTCCTTTTCCTGATGAAGCTTCTAAGATGGTAGAGCCTCCAGAAATTTTGCAGTCATTCACATCATCCAGTACTGCAACTGCTTCTGAACAGGAGTATCAATTGGCAATTAGAGGCAATGTCACCAAACGAAATGTCAGAACACCACGTAAAAGAAGGTATTTGAGGGAGACAAGAACTTGTTTCTTACTAGCTATTTTGTATCAAGATGAAATGATATATAATATTATTTAATGAATAAAGTATATAGTTGACACATTTATCCTTTTCAGGCTAAAACGTTATGTTGGAGATTTATCAAGTGATGACTTTTCCACTCCCAGAAAATCAAAGTCAAATTATCGGTTGATGAAAAGTTCCCTAATGACATTGAGGAAAAAAGTAAAAAGTCTCCAAACAAGTGTTGCTACTTTGAGGAGAAGAATAAAAACTCTAAGTGGCTTATTGAAACTTTTGAAGCAGAAGAATCACATAACAGATTCAGCTGAAACCGTATTGAAGGTAAGCAGATTGATGAAGACTGTGTGTCCCAGATACCCGAATTCATTTGAATGGAGCAATTGATCAACTTTTTTTTTCAATATAATAATTTTCATTACAACACACACACAACACTCAACATACCATAACTGGTCAGAAGACCAGTTGTAATCTTGCTCATTGAAAATAAGCATTATCATCTTATCACTTTTGCACATATAGCTCCATGATTTTTTTCTTTTAATTATAGCATTTGATATTCTTGTTTTATTCGTATTTTGTTTATTTTGACTAATACTTGTTACAACAAGTATACATATCGTCATCTAACCACAGCAGGTCATGAGACTGGTTATGGTAGAAATAGAATTGAGTATGGGTATGTTCAGTGTTAATATCTTAGTTTCCTGATGTTATTTATCTTGCATAAATGTAATTAATACTAGTTTTAAAATACTCATTCTGTTCAGATTACATGATTTAATTGCATTCTAAATACTTAATATCTCTTTTAGGCATCTCTTTCTGGTATGCCTTTGGAAATCTTTGAAAGAATGTTGAGGGGGCGTACTAGCCAGAAATATAACCCTGCCTTGCGGTCATTTGCCCTCACGCTGAGCTTTTATTCCCCAAGAGCATACAATTTTGTGAGGAAGACATTTAACCTTGCTCTACCCCATCTGTCAACAATAAGCAAATGGTATAAGTCGATTGATGGTTCACCAGGCTTCACTGAGGAATCCATTGTGGCCTTGAAATTAAAACAAGGAGAAGCTTCAACCAAAAACTCTACTGTTATGTGTAATTTAGTCCTAGATGAGATGTCTATTCGGAAACAAGTTGAATGGACGGGGAGTAAGTTCACGGGGTATGTTGATATTGGGGCTAACATAGAATCAGACGTTCTACCAGAAGCAAAGGAGGTGTTGGTTTTTATGTTAGTATGCTTGAATGGAGCATGGAAAATTCCGGTGGGTTACTTTCTGTTGGATGGCTTGACTGGTTATGAAAAGGCAGAACTCGTGAAAAAATGCCTAACCTTCATCCACACTTCTGGAGTTACTGTAGCATCATTAACATTCGATGGTGCTCCAGTAAATTTCACAATGGCTTCTTGTCTAGGGACAAATCTGAACGATGTAACAAACTTGAAGACTTATTTTCTCCATCCTATAACGGGTCAAAATGTATACATATTCCTAGACCCAAGCCACATGATAAAATTAGTCAGAAACGCTTTTGGTTCCATCAAATACTTAGGTGATTCTGAAAACAATCAGATAAGTTGGGATTATTTGGTGAAGTTAGTTGATGTGCAAAATATCGAAGGTTTACATTTAGGCACAAAAATAAGAAATCGTCATCTACAGTGGACGAGAGAAAAAATGAGGGTCAAAATAGCTATACAAACTTTAAGTAGAAGTGTTGCTGATGCTTTGACCTATTTATCCAAAGATTTAAAACTAGCGACGTTTGCTAATGTGGAAGGTACCGTAAAATTTGTTCAAACATTTAACGATATTTTTGATATTTTCAACTCTAGAAACAGGTTTTCAAAGTACTTATTTAAGCGCCCACTTTCTCCAGCTACTGCAGATACATTTTTCAAATTCATGGACGAGGCAGTTCAATATATCCATGGATTGCGACTAGGTACTCTCCCAATAATACATTCTCCAAAAAAAACTGGTTTTTTAGGATTTTTGATTTGCATTCAGAGCTTGAAACAGTTTTATAACTTGTGTATTGTAGAAAAGAAAGTTTTAAAATATATTTTGACAAATAAATTATCACAGGATCATTTAGAGCTTTTTTTTGGAGCTATTCGTAGTAAGGGAGGGTACAACAATAATCCCAGTGCAAGGCAGTTTGAAGCTGCATACAAACGATTGCTGGTGCATACAGAGATATCTGGCCCAGACACAGGAAATGTTGATAACCCAGAGCGTTTGACTATCTTATCTTGTGGCAGTGGATATCATATAACCAGGGCGGACGATGGTGAAGATCTTTTAAATAGCCCAGAATTACTTCAGTTTGAAGAAAAAATAAAAAACGATCTTGCCCTTTACCAGTGCACACCTTTTGCATGGAATCTTACAATTTATACAGAAGATGTTGTTTCATACATTGCAGGGTTTGTGGTGAATTGTTTAAAAAAATGTGTTACTTGTATAAATTGTAAGAATTCTTTAGAGGGCGATATTGACATGCCATTGCAAAAAAGAAAAGTTTATGGAGAATTGACAAAAGCCTCAGGACCAGTTATTCAAATTTGCCGCCATGGTGAAAAATACTTTCGTTTCTTCCAAAAGACAACTAATATCTTTAACAAAAATATCAAACATCTCTCGGATATTCTAGTCAATAATACCATACAATCAATATCACCACATATTTTGGGGTATTTTGAACACCACCTTCTTGAAGATGACCCTATTGATGGGCACTGCATATTTCTGATAAAACTGATTTTGAAAAAGTATTTCTCACTCAGAATTCATCACGAAACTGTGAAAAAATCGGACAGTTTAAAAAAAAACAGAATTAGAAGTGTATATACGAAGGCAGTATTATTCAGCCATCAGTAAGATTTTTTTCTTTGTTGTATCTCTCGTAATTTTTTGGATTCTATGATATGATTCTAAGGTTGAGAAGTATTTTTAAATTATGTACATTTTTGTAGACCTGTAGGTGGCAGAAGTTCAAGCTTTGTTTTTCCCAAAATGCATAGCTAATTAGTAGATTTTTAATTTTCTGGCGACACTGATCATGTATGTATAGGTCGACTACATTTCAGCTGTTTCGCATGTAATTGAAATAATTCAAGATTCCGCAATTTCTACCAATACACAGTAAAATGGAAATATCCCGACTGCATGTATTGTTTTTTTTTCGTATTTCATGTTATAAATGGATACATAAGCTATCTTATAAAATTAATTTGCTATACAAATTTCTCAACACGATTACTACAACACTTTAGGTAACACCCCAAGATTGAATGAATTATTTACAATTATGCTTAATGTGTTGATGTATATATTTTTGATTATATTATATGTAATTAGATTTTATATAAAGTTACCTTTATATATATATATATATATATATAACTCGCATATTTTCCTTTAATTATGCTATAACTGAGACCTCGTAGATGAATGTCAGACGTTCATTCCATACTGTGATCCGTACGTCAGTATTTACTGATAGATTTCCTTCCGGATCGATGGAATGATTGAATTTCCACATAACCTTATGCAACAATAAAACATGGCATCAATACGCTAGGCTAGACGTTCAATGAATACGACCACATTCCTTGGAAAATACTAACGGATCAGAGTATGAAATGAACGTCTGACATTCGCTTTATAATACTGGCAAAGTAGTACTAATAAGATTTAGAGTGTTTGTTCTTATACTGTTCTTTACTATTATACAAGGAATGGCCTATGATGATTTTGTACCCATTGTTAAATTGGCGAGTGTGAAGTAGCTGCTTGAAGCAACTCTTGTAATTTATGATTTTGTAAAAATGTCAAAATAAAAAGTGTTCCCATTTCACTGTTTGATTTGTTTAAAAAAAATATCTTATTAAAATGGATGGCGATCAAAACTGTTCAATCCAACTCTAATTTTTAAGTAAATATT